TTGTTTCCAAACAATTTAGTTCACAAACAGGAACATATGGCAAAATTTACTTTGTCTGCAAACTCTGTATCGGTGACAAACATCACCACAGCCATCTTTCCCACACAAACAGCATGGCCACCTTTTCCAAAGTCACACAACAAATTACGTTCATGTGCTGAAAGGTACCACTGTACAATAATTATATTGAAATGTGCTAATTTTTAAAGATCACCAGTAAGAAAATCCGACACCTTCATTTTATTTCAAGGAGAACAAGTTTAAGAGTGACTCTGACAATTTGAACATGTACTTTTTACATCCTGAAGTTACTTTTGTTGAGGGACTATATGGGAATCTGCATCATAAACCTTAAGGAGGTGATTACATAACCTAAATTCCAGTAGGAAGTTAAACCTAAATACAGTCCTAAAATACACTTCAGTGGCCTATACTATAACTAAGGTGGCCAACTTGTTCCAGAGGGAACAGTTTTGTTTTTGTTAATGGCTTCTCTGGCTCAGGCCAGGCTATTTCAGATTTAAAGTCACATTTGTTCAGTCCAACATTATAAAGGTTCAAAAGGTGAAAGAACTTTTCATCTTGACTCAAATCTGAAAGGATTTTAAAAGTCAAATTTTAGCTGCTACTGGCTTAGGACTAAAATAAGTAGAAAGCTTACCACTGCTGCCACGGAATCCTAAAATGAAAATGTCTGATTTGTTGATATCCGTTAATAGTTTAATGGACATTTAACAAAACCTTGGTTTCACAATATGATGTTAAATCTGCCTACTCTCGGCATCCATCTGTAAAGGTGTTTTGTTCTGTTTTGTCTTTTGGTTCTTTGATACAGCATCTCGCAACGTAGTTCAGGCCAACCTTGAACTCACTATGTAGCCCAGAGTGGGCTGGCATTCACGGCATTCCTCCTGCCTCAGCCTCCCGAGGGCTGGAATTACAGGTGTGCACCCCCGCACTCAGCTCTGCACAGGTTTTGCATGTGCCACTGGTGAGAGCTGCAGCCCCACATCCAGGTGTTCAAGAACCCCTCACTAGGATCCACCTCTGATGAACAGTCAGCCTGCACTTGTTATACGCAGAGATACACAGCATCGCCACAGGGGCTCGAACGACAGGATGCATTTAGAAAATAAGCCAACAGCATTTCTACAGTGGGAAATTTCCTAGCCTAAAGAACTAGTCTTTCCAATATCTGTAGGTAGTCATCACAATGTTGAAGCTGCTTCTGTTCGTTTTTATGAAATGAGAACCACCGCGCTGCTAACTGCAGAGAGCCATGAACGCCTGCCCCTCCTGCTCAGTCTATGCTGCCACACAACAGCAAAGATTCCTCCCTTGTCTCTACAGGGTAGTGGTCAGGGTGGGGGCTCCGGGCCTCTTGATCACTAGCAGAAGCTCTGGGTGAGGTGATGGCTTCCCCCTGGATACTGAGATGCTGATCTCCACTGAGAGAGGTCCGCAAGCTACAGCTTTCAATCTACAAAGTTCTTCGGGTTCAGAAAGCTGGTCAAACAAAGGTCAAGGAGAGAAGAGTGTTAGTTTTAGAGAAAACATTCTAATCCTTGCAACTCTCTAAAAACAGGACAGGCTGTGGCCAGGATGTGGGCTGCTGGCAGGACATGCCCAGCAGGTGCATACCATGCGTTGCCACAACCTCCCTGTGGCCTGGGGCAACCAAAGTATACAAATCTCATCTAAACTGTGGACATTTCAGAGTTCGGGTTGATTTTACCAGACCCTCTACTGCAACAGTCACCAGACTTTTTCGATAAAGGGCCAGACAGTAATACTTTAGGTTGTGTGGGCCGTATGATCCCTGCTGTCATTATTCAACCCTGCTGGTGAGAGGTAAAGAAGCATGCTGCTTTCCAGTAAAACTTTTCTCACGAAATCAGGCAGCAAGTGAGAGCTACCCCAGAGTCCATGCCTCACCCACCCCAACCCAGACAAGTGGGTCCGGAAAATCAAGGTAAAATCCAGGTACAAACCTTAACTGTGAAAACGAGGATTTCAGGGACCCATAGTGCTCTTGCTGTTTTCCCGAATTCTTCCGTCTTTAACAATCATCCTAATCTTTTTGAGATAAACTGAGTAAGAATCTCTCCAATCGCCTCAGTAACACCAAACATAAAAACTCAAACAGAGCTGAGTGTGGTGGTGCACAACTGCAGCCCCAGCACGTGGGAGGCTAAGGAGGGGGGTTGCTGTGAGTTCAAGTGCAGCCTGGGCTACATAACTGAATCCAAAGGCCAGCCTGAGCTACTCAGTGAGACCACTCTCAAAAAACTAAAATAAAAACTAGCAATGATAATGATGCTGTGTGTATCACCTATTACTAGGGGAGGAAGATGCTGAAAATCTGCCAAGAGACCACTTGGATGAGGGCAGGGTCCCACTGCAACCCTGAAGTCTATGAAGGGAGAAGATGTTGCCATGTACATCGGGGACCTCAGTGATGGCAACTGCAGTATTTCAAGAAAGCAGTGCTTTGTGGGGACATTTTTTTAAACGAATGACAGAAATATCAGAACTGCAAAGCAACCCTTTAAGACAAATCAGCTGTCTATGTTTTTAAATACGAAGTGACCACTCACAAACTGAATACCGTTACATTCTACTCCATTATACTCTGCTTTAAAGAGAAGTCCACGAGCAACACATCCCATCACTGACATGTAGAACGCGCTCCCTTTAAGTGGCCAAAGGAACAGACTGCTGAAAACGCCACTCAAGTTTTGATAGGTGACTCCTAAGTGCCCCCAAGTCTGGGAAACAAATGCCCAATCCATCCTAAATTCAGCAGTTTTATTTGCAGTAGGCAGAGATAAGGTAGTGATTGCAGTTTATAACCAGCACATTGTACAGCTCAGTTGGAGGAAGGACTTTATCTAGGATACATAGCCTACTAGGGCAAAGGCACTTTCTGAGACAGCCAGGCAGGACACAAAAGCCAGCCAAGTTAGGACAAAAAGCCACAATGCCTATCTAGCCTCAGCCTCTTCTTTCTGCAAGCCTGATACCTCTGTGGCAGAGGAAAAGTGATTTGCAGGTATTTGACTACCTAGAATTCACAGTACTTGATTTTAAAAATTTTAAAAATCTTTAGCATTCAACTAGATCACACTTCTAAGGGTGGAAGGGACGGGGCAGTTTTTAAGGGAAGCAGTGAGCTCTGGGCAACTAAACGGCAAAGGCGGGTCCTCTTCTCGGCAACAGTGCCCGGACCAGACACCCCTGAGGTGTCCACCAAATGAACTGTGGACACAGGAAGAAAGTCTCGTGGGGAAGCAAGGGCTGTGATGAGAAACAGAGTGTCTGTTTTGCTTCAGAAGTCTGCGGACCATTCTGACCCACAACCTGTTCCTCCTCCATGTTGCAGAATCTCGTCTCTACCATGAGGAAGTACCCAGGGATTTCCCACATTTTAATCAACTCTCTAAGTCACAGATACAATGTCCAATGTCTCAAGCTGCAAATCTTTGCAAGTAAACTGGTCACATTCAAAAGTCTGCTAACATCAGATGGAAGAGCTTGAACACTTACATAGCAAATCACCAGTCATCACACAGCTTACCAACTAAAGACAGTGACTTAGAAGACAAAGGGAATGAGACTGTCTCATTAATTTTCTGGTTAACTGAGTGTTTAAGAGCAAAGATATTTCTCTGCAATTCTTAAATCCTTTTTTTTTTTTTTTTTTTTTTTTTAATTTTAGAGACTGCTTTGGTCCATACCCTCAACCATAAGAGGAATCAACACAATCAAATCAACACACTGCCTCTCGGACCAGTGAGAATCTAGTCACTGATACTGATGAGCTGTCAGGCTTTACATCAGTGATGATTAGACAGAATTTTACCCCAACACAGAAAGTGAGGAAACCAGGCTGGACATACTGTACACTCAAGATGAGGTCTTAAGAGCTGATTTCAAATGAACCCCTTCTTTAAAAAAGAAAGAAAGAATTCCATTTATTCTCTACCTTCATAGACAAATGCAGTGAAGAATTCTGTTTTGGAACTACAACCTGTTAGCTTACAGACCTCATGCTACACAATAATTGATCAGTGAAGGACGTATTTTCACCTCCTGTGCTTACCCTGAAGATACCAAGGGATGTAAGATACCAATGGGTGTCCGTGGAGACTCAAGAAGGAATGGTTAGAAAGTAGTAAAGACAGAGAAAGGAGAAGGCAGGAAAGGCTGATAAGCCAATAAAGGGGTCCTGTGGGAGTGGGGAGGAGACAGAGGACTTGACAGCTGCAATCCACTTTCTGAATCAGTAAACAAACCTGAATATGCACATGGTGTTTACTGATTCTAATACTGATGTAAAGGGACCAGAACAAGAGCCTATCAGAAAGGTGGATGGAACTAGCACCAGTTGGCTGGTGGTTCTTTAGCAGCCATGACGCTGAGGGAGGAGGGTGTCCTGAGCCATCTGCCTCATGACGATCACTGTGGTTAGGTAATGGCACTTAAGAGGGGTAATTCAGAGGTTAAGACAAGGATGAAACCTCTGGTTTTAGGAGGAAATAAGATCCTATTCCCAGTGCAAACTGATATACTCAGGGACCAATCAAAACCTGCAGTATCCTTGGTTCCAAAGTCATGAAAAGTTGCTGTTCCCATATCCCATTACCAGTCAATTTTGGTTTGAATAACCCAGGTAAATGGAATGTGTCCGTACACCACAGAGACCAAGCCAAACACTTGGCCAGAGCTGCTGTCAAATGCTTCAATACCAAAATAGCCAGGCTTTTGCTGAGTTTTAGTTCTCAGAGATTTCAAGGTCACCCCTACATCGCCTGCCATGACAACACTGCTCTGAAAAGAGGCCATGATTTTAATGAAACTATAGCTGAAAAGGTCATGAACACATTTTTAAATTAGAGAACCACCCTAAAAAAAGTTCCATTCTTATTACATTTAAGTGAATTACACTACGATGGTAACAAAAACTAAATAAACAGAACAGTAGTAATCTCAAAGCCTACCTATTCCTGAATTAGCCCCAGTGACCACGACCACTTTGCCCGTGAAGTCCCGACCCTGCAAGATGTCCATAGCCGTGGTGCTGCTGTCGTATCTCTGCCTGGTGGCTGGCTTGGTCGGATTGTCATCCACGGTAAAGGCCAGTCGTGGGTCCAAGTAGGTGGTTCTTTTATTAATGTGGCTGCAAAGGAAAAGAGAAAGCCATGAACTCACAGCAGTGAACACCAGCGGTTATAAATACTAGATAATCTTACAGTTTAGGCAAACCTCATTATTCATGTACCAGGAGGCTTATTGTTAAACCTGAAAAGAACCAGGGCCATTTAATCTATCTTCTGGCCTCCAGAAGGATTACATTCCTGCCTCGAAAGATACTCATCAAAGCCTTTCCATCAGAGCTGCCTGTAAAGTGTGCTGTAATGTACAATAACCACTGCTTGTACTCTTGGATCTCAAAGAAGTCTTTGAGAGAATGCCCTGGGCTTTTACTTCATTCATATAAATGTGGCCTAAGATCTGTCAGCCAGCCTTTCCAGTAGAATTTGATTAAATCTCTTCACCCTATGCAAGGGCCTAAAAAGATCAGTAGAGTAAAAACTACAAATAACAGAAGCCCTAACATTCCCACCGACTTGCGCAACTGCTACCACACATGGCTGTCCACCGGGCAGCAGGGGACAGTCATCCATGTACCCTCAGTATCAGAGCTAGGCAGCAGTGAGACATACAAATTATGACTCTTGTGAGCTGTTAATATGGATATGAAACTGACTAGTGAATAAAATTTTAATGACTCAGAAACTAGCATGCACAGAATGCCCAAGAGGACCTAGAGAAGCACAGGTTACCAGCCCCACCACAGCTAGATTGCGACATCTCTAACACAGACCCCGTTATGCTGCCATGGCAGGTACAGAACCACACTTGGGAACCACTGCTCTGGGCCAATGGCCATTACAGCATTTCAAGGAACAAGTGTCCCAGCCCATGTACAAAGGCAGGGATGATGCAGGACAGGACTTGGTTACACAAAATGTTGAGTATTCCTACAGTTGATGTTTAAAACATTAACAAAGTTTAAAAAAAAAAACCTTGGAAAAAACCATTCACAACACACAATGGAAGGACTGGCTTTCCAGTATCTCTTTCCAGGGCTGCGTTGGTAGCTCAGACACACCTAGGAACCAAACCCTGGCCCATTTGTCACACACGAACCTGAAAGTATAATTTCTGATCTTGCTACTATTAACAAGATACTTAACAGACTACTATTATAACAACTCATAACATGTGAGATGAAAATAAGGTGCCACCATATCTATGATCATCTGGCTGCTTCTTCAAAGAACTTCAAAAACTAAAACATTTTGGAATAGTGGTGCATGCCTGTAACTCCAGGCACTGGAGAGACTGAGGCAGGAGAACCACCAGTGTGAGGCCAGCCTAGACCACAGAGTGAGGTGAAAGCCAACAAGGACTACACAGTAAAACTCTGTCTCAAAAAGTTTTTGTTCAATCAATTACAACAAAAATGCTATGAAAATGCCATAAAATTACAGAAAACATGAAGCATTCAAATTCTTTAAAATGCTGCTTCTGCTCTACTGTAAAAAGTGAAAGCAGGAACAGTAGCTGCTATGCTAGGAGTATGTCTGGGGAAGGAAGACTGGGCATAGTCCTTGTGGCAGACCCACATTTGAAGAGTAGGCCTTGGTGTGCTTAAAGGAAATGTTACCAAAAAAAAGGGGTTTTTTTTGTCATAGATACAGTTTTTCATTAAAAAATAATAACAATCCTGAACTAAGTGTATAGTTCAGAAATGGATCACTTACATGCCTAGCACACATTAGGCCCTGGGTTTAATACTCAGCAAAAGTAAATAAATAAATGTCCAAATTTTCGCTTAAATCAACTTTATAACCAATTAATCCTAATCCTGTCAAATATGTAACCTGAGTTAAACACTGATGATCAAAAACATTCATTCTTAACTCTAGTGGTCAGGAGTAGAGATACTAACATACAGACACAAGAGAAGCAGACGCTGCCTGATTCCTGCAGTATACTAGACAGTGGTTACTATTGCAGTGTGTTGCTGGAATTTATTCCAAAGACAGAATCAGAGATGTGAAAAAGTGTTACAGATAATGATGTTCAAAAAAGTATTTATAATTATTGACTCCCAACAACAGACATTTTAACAGCACCAATGGCCAATAGGCAATATGATTAAATTATAGTATATCTGTGCAAAAGAATACTCTAGAGCCATTAAAAATCTCTTCTTAAAAATACAGAAAGGTATGAGAAAATGCTCACAAAATATCATGTGGGAAAACCAAGTTACTAAACCATTTACGAGGAACATTTCCTAAGTTAAAAAAACATGCACATAGAAAACAATCTGGGGAAAAAAGAATGGGGGAGACTAGAAGAATAAACCCAAAACCCATTGAAAGTAATTACTCCTACTGGTGAGACTACAGTTGTACGCAGTCAGTATGTATTACTTTTATAATTAAAAATTTCCATCAAACAGCGAAATGGCCAAGAACAGTTCCCACGTAGACACTTACTCAACAAAGAATACTTGTCCATTCTCATCTGTTTCTTGCTCCCATCCATATGGCAAATCTGAAAGACAGGAAGGACAGACAGGTCTTCATGACTGAGCTTCTCCCTCCTGACCAGCAGAGGTTGCTCCAACTTACTCTAATCACTAATCCAACTGCGACAGTCCCAGTAGGTCCTTCAGCTCCAAATGGAGTCCACATTTCCCACTCTTGCTTTAATGAAAACTCTGTATCATTCTTTTCTGGGAGGACAGGAAGGGCTGGGAAATGAACCCCAGACACAAAGTCTAAGCTAAGCTGCCCAGATGGAGCTCAAATTCAGGATCCCCCTGCCTCAGCCTCCTAGAAAGCTGAGATTACAGGCATGTGCCAACATACCCAGCCTTATCCTTGATAGTTCTTAAAGCTCCACTGGGCTCCTCCTTACCCTGGGAACCTTCCTAACTGCTTCAGTCAAAGTAAACCCTCCCCAGAACGAGCTCACAGACCATACTCACAGGCACAGTAGGCATCCACCACCTGACTGTGGGATCACATTGCTGAGCAGTTTCATTATTTTTCATGTGTTACCTGTTGTCTCTCCAGCTGGACCCTAAACTCTTAAGGGCAGGATCTTCTCCTACTTTTTTTTCTGCATTCTTATATATGCATTTCATAGACTGCATGCTAAATGCTAAGAAGCACTAGAAGTCATTGTGTTCTTTATGGAATTCTATAAAGTACTGATGTATTTAATGCCATGGTATAAAAAAACTAACAGCAATATTACAAACAGAACATGCAATTGTAAGGAAACCTAATAAACTGTGAGGCAAAGGCCCCAATTATTTTTATAGTTTTTAACACCGCTAAGAAATCATCTTCCTCTATCTACCCCAAGAAATTACTGCTTCTTTCTGCCAAATTCTCCTAGCTCCTGGAAGAGAAAGTCAGGTTCCTGGCTGGTTCCCCACCAGGGAGCCTTCCTAAGATAACACCTGACCTGTGACCTGCCACCTGTGACATCTTCCCGATCCCGTTAATGCTTCAAACCCAAGTCTTTTCCCTGGGACCCCAATATACAAACCTCCTGCTACTCGTTTTCTTTTTCCAGTTTTCGGATGTTCCCACTGAGTCTTCTCTTCAGTATGACTGTTAAAAAAAAAAAAATCACAATACAATAAATAAAAGTCAGCATCTCTAAAAGGTAATTGATCGTATGAAATTCTGTCTCTCCCAGATAACAATCTTTTCTCGAGTAGTAAAAACCAGAGACCAGATTTCTTCTGAGAAAGAAATATGCAGAACATAAAGTTTGCTGATTACAAAGTCAAAAGGCTGGAAGGGAATTGGCTAAGAGGCTGCCTTGACAATTGGGCAGAGAAGAGGAGAAAAAGTACTAGGCCCAGGCTGTTCAACTGGCTCTAGGAAACTCCAGGAGTCACATGAAATATCCAGAAAGGCATTTTGTATTCATTTTAGTTTTATTCCATGATATACCAACAAAATCTAAAGTGCCTAATTTATAATGCTATGTTAAATACAACACAGACACAGTGACAGTCTTACTAATATGTTCCTTCCACCCACAGATGCAATTGCAAAGTGTTTCATTAAGCACAAGAGGTCCTTAAGAATGTAGGGAGACAACCCCTGAGGTTATATAGCTGTGCAACTCTGGTCAAATGGCTGGCTTAACCTCGTAGCCTCCACTTTCTCATCTGCAAAATGGAAATGACCCTGACCTCAAAGACCTGCACAGAAAGGGTTTCACGTAGCAGCTGACATAGCAAAACTCCTCAAAAGTGCAAGCCATTATTTTGAACAAATTAATTATACACACCAGCTTCAACTCTGTGCCAAATTTAGCATTTTATCACAGAACACTATGCAGTTACAACTAAAACAGTGGGCCAACAGCTAGGAACACCTGTCACCAGGTGAGGAGGCATCCAGGAAAACACTCAATTACTTCCTCAGGGAACCAGCCCAATGCGGTAGGAGGCATTCAAAGGCTGGGCTGGATTTCCCAAAAGTTTCCATACTCTTGTCAAAATAGAAAACAGTAGTACTTAATCACTAACATCTAAATGACAAAATATGGATACTCCTTCCCACTACTTATGCTAAAGAAAAGCAGCATGAATTCTTGTAAAGTGATGCACATCACAACATCACAAGATCTTTCTTTTTCTTTTTCTTTTTTTGGCATGCTTCTGGGAATCAAACCCAGAGCCTTGCACATGCTAAGCAAGCGCTGAACTACACTCCAAGGCTAAGGTCTCTCTTTTTCATGAACTGCCAGCTTCTGATGTCTTTACAAAGTCCTGGCAGCTGGGCCACTGTCACAATGCAGGTACACTGGACCCACAGGCAGAATACCAGAGTTCCCAACTCCAGGTAGCTGTGTTCTGCCAGCCAGACTCACACAACACCTGCCTCCCACAGCTGTTACAAAGCTGAGACACAGGACACCCTGGCAGTGCTTAGGGCACCATTAAATCCTGCAGGAGGAATCAGGAGCAGAGACAAGCTCCTACTTTGTCAGTCAACCGCCATCAAATCCAACTTACACAGGGAAGCTCTGATGCCCTCATAAGGATGACCAGCTTCCAAGGAGACAGTAGGAGTTAGGAACCCCTCTCCTACAAATGGAAGGGAACAGCAGAGACAAACCAAACTCCAGTAACAACAGACTTCCCTGCTCCTCACTCTGCCAGGCCATGTTTCTTCCGGAAAGAGATGCTTGACAGTAGTCTTCATCCCATGGGTATGCACCAACTGAGCCTGCAGGCCAGCTCCAAACATATCCCCAGATGGGCCTTAAGAGTGCTGAGCCTCCATGGCAAGCTGGACCCTTGGACATCAGCACAGCCCTTTGCTTGGCCCACTGTAGGTGTGCAAATGTAAATGTATGTGATGAATAACACCCATCCACCCCCCCCAAAAAACAAAGCCCTTACCAAAACAGCTCTGAAATTCATGCTTCTCCCCAGTAGGTGTCAATACACCATTCCCCAACAGATCATGCTGAAACCAAAAATGCCACTTAGGAGTGAAGGTTCCACAGCTCAAGTGGTCACGTTTCCTGGTGCTCCCACCCACCAGCCATGACCCCTGGAGAAGTGTTTTTAGCCTGTTGCAGCTGTGTTTAGATGTGCCCCCTAAGCCCCGTGTGGTAATCAGGGTTTTTCAGAGGTGACTGGATCTAGAATGTGTGATGCTGGGACAGGGGGTGTGTGATTACTGACTGTTTGGGCATAATTCTGGGTAGGACTAAGGGACCACCCCACTGTGGGTGTGAGTACTACTCTCCGCCCCAAGGGTGGGCAGTCTAGTTAAGATACAAGGAACAGGAAGAGGGTCTCTGGTCTCTTGTCTCTCATCGCTTGCTGCTTACAGCCTTGCACCTGCCCTGCTTTGTCATGGGCTGTTTGTACTCTGCAATGCCACACTGCCATCCACCCTGCCTTGGAGCTAGCTGATCATGAACTGAAACCTCTACAAAAATGTGAAAAAAAAAATCTTTCCTCCCTTAACATGTCAGGTATTGTCTCAGCAGCAAAAAGTAACTAAGATAGCCTCCTTGTGCCTCGGTTTTCTCGTCAATCAGACGGGGGAAACAGCGGTGTCTGCCTGTTGGGGTTCTGGAGGACTGAGTCAGTTAACTTGTTAAAAAATGTGCATTTCAATAGGGTTAATCTAAGTACATACAAAAAACATATATAAAAATTCATTGTTTGTAATTATAACCTCAAATGATTTCTTAATGAAAGGAAATCATGACTCAAGTCTCCAAAGTGTTACCTGATCCCACCTTACTCCTTCCATTTGCTTTTCCTTTTAATAAGGTTTTTATACTTTACAGAGATAATTAACAGTAATCTTAAGTTTAACCAAAGGGATCAAAATTAAATTCCATTATTCATATGATGTGAGTGCCACTTCCAGGTTTGTTCTTTTAGGGTTGTGGTTTTGTTCCATTTTACTGCTGTTGTTTTGCTTAGTTTCAGTCAGCACAGAGCTCTCGGCCAACCATGGTGGGCACCAGCTGGGTGGGGCCTAGGATAAAGCCCCGAGAAGGCCCTAGTGGCTGCAGTGATAGCCCCAACATTGAGTCTTCGTCTGGGACTGTTGGGGACCCACTAGCCCTCCTGGGTGGCAGATGCACCCTCAATGGCGACCTAACCAGAACTGCCCAGTGTCCTGAGGCCCAGGAGACGTTGGTGCCTCTGAGGTCAGAGAGTGCACTGTGGGGAACGAGGGACTGATATATCCACAGCAGCCCAGGGGTAAGGCTACAAAAGTGAGGTCCTCACAAGACCCTAAGGTTTCAGTGGGCTGTGGCCGCTGTTCCTGAGCACATGACAGGAACAGCACTTGGAAAAAGGAATCACTCAAGGGATGGTCTGAGAGTCCATCAGCAAGGCAAGAAACACCAGTGTCACATCCAGAATTAGGAGAGGAAAAGGCGCTTCCAGTCAGGAAGGATCAGGAAAGGATCAGCCCCGTGTGAAACCTATGACAAGGCAGGGGGCCAGAGGAAGCTGCGTGTGCTCCACAGAGTCCTCAGGGAGGAGGCAGATGGAAAAGGCCAAGCCACCAAGGTACAGAGAGGGGAGCGACAAGTCCAGCAGCAGAAGGAGGCTCCTAGTCCCTAATGGAAGGAAGCAGGGCAGCCTTTGGGATGAGTGGCCAGCACAGGACAGGCCCCCCAAAGGAAAGCAGGTCCCAGGCATGTCTGCCTTGGGGCACCATACCCCATCTGCTCATAGAAGCCCTCACTCCACAGGTTTTGTTGTCATAGTTTTTCTGCTGTTTTAAGCTGCTGGGGAAACAGGGGAAGAAGAGGTAGGTCCCTCCCTTCAAGAGCATACAACGTGAGCCAGGAATGGTGGCACATAACTGTGAACCCTGCACTTTGTGAGGCTGAGGCAGAAGGATGGTAATTCAAGACAGCCTCAGCTACACAACCAGTTCAAGGCTGGCCTGGACTACACAGTGAGACTCCATCTCTAAAAACAGTATCAAAAGAGAAGTCTGGCATGTAGAGGAGGAAGACAGACAGCAAACACTGATGAAACACCAACAGATCACACTAAGGCCCAACGGGTGGATAACAAGACAATGGGCATGGGGTGCAGGCACTCCTAGTCAAGGAGACCCTGAACTGGGGCAGTGATATCCAGTGACACCTCAGCTCAGCTGAGGGAGGCACGGAGCTCTGTGTAGGCACACACATCCAGGGGGAAGGAACAGCGCTCCTTACCATTCCAATTCCCTTTAGTTCTCTGGAGCCCTTAATTCTACGTCATTTCCTGGCTCCAAACCTTCCGTGGACCTCTCGGCCTAAGGACTAGGTCCTCGCTCCCTGCCTTGGGTTTCCCTCCTGGATCGCATACACATCCAGGTGGCTGCACGGGCCTCACCTCCCACACAATCCCAACGCTAAGCCACCACATTGGCCCTGGCTCCCTGCGAGTCACTCTGCCCTCTAAGACAGTTGGCAACTGTCTTAGATGTCCTTATAACCTGTGCCCAGTAAGAGGCCTGGCACTTTGGATCTCTACATGCCTTGAATGAACTCACTCGGGCCTTTTCTTTTTTTGTTTTTCTTTCTACCTGACCAAAGACAACAGTGGTTCACACCCATGGGCAAATCACAATCACATGGGAAGACTTTGCGACCTATCAGTGGGGATAAGGGATGCGATCACCTCTGACAGGGGAAGCCAGAAAAAAATATTTCAACTTGTTTCCAAGCCAGGGGTGGTGGCCTGGAATTCGGGCACAAGGGAGGCTGAGGCAGGAGTATGGCCAGGTCAGCCTGGGCTACACAGCAAGTTCCAGAGCATCCTCAACCACCACAGAAAGACCCTACAAAAAAAAAAAAAAAAAATGAGTATCACTCATTTACATTTTGTTTTTTCCCTAAGTGGAGAATGTAACACAGCGGGTTCTCTATGGAGATCCAAGCCCCGCATTTTAAACTTAATCACAAAGCGGGTGACAGACGCATCAGGGAAGACTGGAAGACAGACAGATGATTCCTTAGACCCTGCGCTTAGCACTGCGTGCAATGCCTGCCTGACCCTTGTATCAACCCATATTACAGACGAGCAAACAGAAACCAAGAATTCTTTCAATGACCCCCAAATCATGGTTACTGATGAAGGAAGACGCGGCTAGGGTTCCAAAACTTCCTCGGGAAATGACAGGGAAGCCATCCAGGACATCTGTTTAAAAAGCACATACTCCTAGGCCTCCAAGCGCGACGCCACGGAGGAAGCGGGGCTAACTGCATTTTTTAAAACGTTCATTCATCTTTGGGGGAATAAGCAGGGTTCGCAGGCAGCGCACCGTGCAGCGCTGCCTCCTGGACGGCAGGGGGCGCGCCTGGACGCGGCCAGGGGACCCCCGTAGACCCGAGCCCACAAAGACGCCAGCCCCCGCTGGGACCCTCCGGCCGGTCTCACAGTCACTTTCACCTCGTACCGCCCTCGCTCCGGGCCCGGCGCGCACCGGCGCAGGCTCCAGGCGCGTCCTGGGCCAAGTGAGCCCCAGGCCCGGCGGCCCCCTTACTTGGCATAGTAAACCCAGCCGTCCTTGGTGGTTCTCTCCTCCCAGCCCGGGGGCAGCTCGTCCTCGCTGTCCGTGTCGTCCAGGCCGGCGTAGCGTAGCGCTGCCATGGCAGAGAAAGGAGACGAGAGACGAGGCGCTCACTCGCCTGCCGCCGCCACTGGCCGGTCTCCTCAGCCAGGAACTCACTCCTGCTTCAACCGAGCGCCGCGCGCGCCGCGCCGACCGCTCGCGCCTGCGCACTGCGCCGCCCGAAGCCACATCGCCGGCTCCGCAGCTGCGATCCCGTCTCCTGGTTTTCCCAACTGCCAGCGTAAAAGGGGCGGAGCCTCGGGCGCACAGCGATGTAAGCGCTAAGGAGACTGCGCCACAGCTGGGCAGGGTGGAAAAGGCGGAAAACGTTCAGTATCTGGGAGACGAAGCTGAGCTTCGTCTCCGTCCCGGCCTCAGGGAAAAGGCGTGCGACGTCCAGTCCAGATCCAGGACTCCGCCCGTTGCTGGGGGACCCAAAGTCACTTCCGCGCAGCTCTGGCCAATCCTACAGGAGCGAGCCCTTAGTGGTTGGGCATCCTGGGAAATGTAGTCCACTCCCAACCACACTAGAAACTGAAGCCCAAAGGAAGAATTCTGATGCAGATGTTCTGGGCTCTACTATCTCTTTGCTTTAGAGCATTATGAGAATAAACGACTCTCAGTTAAAAACCGTGCTGTCACTCTTGATGATTCACAAACTTTTTGTGGATATAAACACAACATCATAAACATGAAGAATTTAAAAATGCTAGTTCGCGTGTCTTCTGGTTTTCCAGAATTGGAAAAGCTTCTTCGAGTACCAAGGTTCTGTTGAAAATAATGGCTGGTATTTAGGGAGCTCCTGGTATGGGTTGTTGGCCAGGAATTCCTTAGTCATCTCTTCCACACCTGACACCACGGATGTGGCGCAACTCAAGAGGATAGCTATAACCACTTGGACACAGAAGAACGAAAACCGGACAGTTCCCGGCAGCTGACAAGCCATACCTACATTACAAACACTCATTCTACTGTGTTCTTCCAACCTAACTGACAGCACTATTAGGCAGAAAGCTAGTCATTAGTGGGTTGGAAATGGGGTCGGGGGGCTACAATTGAAAAGCAAAAAACTATGGGACGTTTTAATTTTTTTGTTTCACTTTTTTGTGTGCTTGTTTGCTTTTGATTTTGATTTTTAAAAATAGTCTCACTCATGGCCTTGAACTCTGACCTCCAACTCCGGGGTACCTTCCTTCTGCCTCAGCCTCACTAGTGCTGAGATTACAGGCATGCTCCACCACACCTACTTTTCCTTCCCTTTCTTAATCACAAGAGATGGAAACATCCACACAAGCTCACAGTTTCAAACTTTAACTCCAAAGAATGTAACGTCCTCTAAGTGTGCCAATGAGGTCCAGATCTGAGGGCAGAGACAGGAAAACCTCCAGATCTCAAAACAAACTGATTGGAGACACACATAAGGGTAACACAGAAAACTACTCTGTAAAAATAGGTCAACCCAGCCTGTATTATTTATACAAGAACAATGATCTTGGAAGAAGGAAAGAATATTCCTTGAAAGATCCAGTGAATCACATCAATGTAATTTGAGACCTCATCCATTGTGACTGCCATCTTGGCCTTATCCACATTCATGCTTGAAGGTATATTCTCTCTCTCCCCCACCCTACCCCGAAAAATCTATTATTTGCAATAAACTCTACCTGTACTCTATACTAGTGATGGCAAAAGTTTTAGAAAATTTCAGTGATTGAAAAAACCCAGTGTGGCATGCCGTAGGTTTGCTACCACTGCTCTATACATGGCCTGTGTGTCTTGTCTGAAATCTTTCATCAAAGACACAGAATTGAGGTTATGTTTCCAGTTCTTTGCTGAGTTTGGAACTCACCATGTTAGGACCCAGCTTCAAGGTATAGCACCACAACTGTGCACTTAGCAAGATGCTCACACCTGCAAATTTGTTAGATGAGCAACTGAAATGAATGTTACTTTTAGTTCTGATCCTTTGCAAATTAATCTAATTAAAACTAAAATTTCAAATGTACCAAGTAAATTCTCTGAAGTACTCTCAGAGCACCTGACAAGTACTCCATCTATAAATGTCCTAAATCTAAAACCTGAAGCACATCTCCAACTTGAACTTGCGTGAGGAATTTTCTAGAACATTACCCCATTTACAACTTGCTTCTCTATCCTATGTCCTATGGAAACCCACTGATGGTGATTTTTGTGGTCTGGGACACAGAGAACATAAGTCTCCACCAGAATACTTACATATTTTAAGAGCCAGGCAAATGTTATGTTATTTCTTGTCTGTGTATCTCAAAACTGATTATCCTGTAGGATTTCAGCCATAAGTACTCTTGAGGTGGAGGACAGTGCTTTCCTGAACATGCCCAACCAGAAGTGAATTTAGTGAATGCACACCTTGGTTCTAACGGGTCTGCTATCCCATATCAAACTTGCAGTGCATCGACTTTTTATCAAATCTATCGAATGTTCTACTCAGATGTGTTTGTGTCTTCTACCATGAATCTTCTACTTACCCCTCTTACCCCTCATTTAATCTTATTTATTTCTTTTACATAAATTATATCTTGAAATCCTTGGATAAGATCAAGTTGAAAAGCCTCCATTTCTCTAATGATCAGTAGCTTCTGCTCAAGTCATGACTCCTTAGACTGACCTGGGGCTGTCCTAGTCAGAGCCACTCCTTCCTGACTCCTTAGACTAACTTGGGGCTGTCCTAGTCAGAGCCACTCCATGCATCTGTGGCCTGTGACTGGGTATCAAGCCACAGATAGCCACGTGCTTTGATGTCCTCCAAACTGGTAGTATTCTCAACTTCTGGATCAACCCTCTGCTGTTCCTACCACAGAACAATACTTCCAAATCTTCTCCTGCCATGGATGCCAGGATTCTGACATTTGAGGCCAGTAAATGCTTTGCTTTGGAGCTTTCTGTGTGCTATGGCTTTTTCAGCAGCATCGTTGCCCTCTACCTACTAGGTGCCAGCAGCATCCACCTCTCCTGATTGTAACAACCCATAAATGTTTCCCAAAATTGACAATTTGAGTCTCGGCTAAAAACCAGAGAGCTATACTGATGGTAAGCCAGGAAACTGCTAACTTGTGAAGCAGGTGAGTTGTGCTAAAATGTATTTATAACACTGTAGAGTCCTTTTCTGGTAGGAGAATCAGAGGGCAGCATTCGGTCCCTGCTGGCTTCAGCTGGTTGTAGAGTTCTGTAGCTTTGGTTCAGTGTGCCTGGTCTCAGATCCCAGGTCCCTCAGCAAGTCAGAGGGGTGGACTGGCAGAGATGTGGCTGACTGGTTCAGACACCCAACTTTATCTGATTCCTCATCTTCCTACATCTTATTAGTTGGACTTTATGAGAAGAATTAAAGAAGTAAAACATACAGGCATTTGGATTTTAGGAGTTACTGTCTTTTAGCTTGTCTTGGTCAACTTTGTGTTGCTGGGACAAAATCCCCAGTGTACATCACTTAGAGGAGGAAAGGTTTCTGCTGGCCCAGTATCAGAGGTGTCAGTCCATGGTCAGTAGGCTTGAAGGGAGAAACATCATGGCAGAAGCGACTGACAGAGGAAAGTTGTTTATCTCATGGAGGACAGAAGGGATGAGCCAAAGGGACAGAAAGGAGCCAAAGATGGAACATTTCCATCTGGTTTACACCCTCAATGACCTCCTCCTCTGAGCAAGCCCCTCTTGCTAAAGCACGTTCAGTTATAAACTCATCAATGGATTCCTCCAATGTTGGGGTTAGTGCCCCCATGATCCGATCACATCCCCCTAAGCCTTACTCAGCACACATGAGGCTTTGGAGGGACATTTTTGATCCAAAGCATAATATGCCTTTATTAAAACATATTATTTCAGTCATTCAGTTAAAAGACTAGACTGATTCAAGAACAGGATTTATGATCAGAATACATGTGGAATGAACTGAAATGTTATTCAGGGTAACACAAGAGGAAGCCCAAAACCAGACCTACCTTTTTACCCGTCTTGTAATATTATATTCACTCTATGTTGCTTCATCCTACCCCAACCCATGGAGTACAATTTTTTAATCTCTGTTAACTGGCTTTAACTTGCTGATTATGGCTTTGACTTTGCTTTTATAAAAATCTTTCAACCTCCAAGCTCTATTGGTTAGTAAGATTATAATATATTTGAAGACTCTTAAATTTTGGAATAAGCTGAAATCCTCAATGTGTAACCATAAAAAAGCCTCAGGAATGGTTTGCTTTGGAAAAGACAATTGAATCAAAATAACTATTAGTAAAAGATTTTTTAATGAATGTGGTTATGCAACTGTACACCAGGTGGCCCTATTAGTCCATGATTTTAAAGACTAAAGCTAAGTTCCCAATGAGGATTTTGATGCTTGAGCTTTTTCTTTTTGATTGGTTACTTCTATAATAACAAACAATTTATAATCAATTTATATAGTTATTTTTGCTGAATGCAATTTGACAGCACTTGAATCACATATATACATTGAGCACAAGTTTTAATATAGTATTTCTGGAGCCACAGTTTTTCAATTTATCACTACCGTGAAGATGGTCATTTTACTCCTCTTCTACCCTCCCACACACAGACACTCCAGAAACTCTGAAACCTGACTCAATGTCTTTCACTGTCGTGGTAAAATTAACCTTGATGTTTTAGTATGAAACTTTGACTAGTAATGGGATCTGGAAAACTTTTTAGCTATTAAGAAAGCTTTTTCACAGGAAGATGATCAGAAAAAAAGAATACTGATCAGGATTCTTAGAGGAAAGTTTCTTTTGTCATTGTGACCTTATTTAATAAGATTTAATTGTACTTCACTTATTCATTCAAATATACGGTGAGTAATATATATATATATATATATATATATATATATATGGCTTCTATGAGAAAAAGAGCTTCAGCAAACCCAACTAATGTATACTAATGTTACTTAGAGTGGCCAAGTCATCCCTTAACTTCCCCTACTTTCCCTTGTTTAAAAAATAAAAATAATATTGATGCCTGCCTCATAGAGAAATTAAGCAAGTCAGCATGTCATTAATGTAAACCTTGGGATCCAATTAGCTAAATAGGCCAGTTCTACATTTTGAATTGAATAGAAGGAATTCACTACATAGATTATATCAGCCAGTTTTCTCATGACTGGGACACGATATCCAACACCCCCAACTTACAGGAGAAGTCTAATTTGGCTCATGAAATTCAAGGAATTCAGTATGGTCAGCTGCTCTGAGATGGGAACATCCTGGCAGAAGGAATGTGGGGAAGCCAAGATGCTTAGTTCAGAGTGTCCAGGGAACAGAGCAGAGGAATACCGCCAAAGAGGAAGAAGGAGAGGCACTTATAGTACCCAAGATCACACCTC